TTCATAACACGTATTTCGGCATACTGATTGAGACTCACACCGTGATTTTCTCCGTGACACCTCTTGGACTGACATCTTTAAACCCCCAATTGAAAATTGCGCCACCGAGGCTTCTTCGTGGGTCAAAGCCGTCATGGCACTTTCATCCCTTCTATGCCAGGTGAAACCTCAATCCTCTCCATGGTTCACAATAGCATGCTTAGTCTCTATAGCACACAGGAACCACTATTTTGGGCTTTAATCTTTACCAATAAATCCGAGGGCTTCTACTACAACTGGAATTGTTGATGTCCTCATATGCCACATTTTGGGGATTTTGATTTCAAGGTCCTTTAATTTTGATAGTTTCTTAAAGATTTTTACAGATACATTACCTTCTGCAGGGACTACTATGTCAATAAGAAAGCACATTTTGTTTTGCGGAGTCTTATCACGAAGTCTGGGTGATTAGATTTAGTTGTTCTGTCTGTGTGTATTGTAAAGTCCAACAAAATTGTTACCGGTGCTATCTCCGTAAACTTGTCTGGATGGTGTTCAAACCAATTTCTTGAAGTTTCCTTTTTGAAAAGGTTTATCTTGCCATTGTCTCTGCATCTGATCTATTGCATCTGCATTTGCTTTCTTTTTTAAGTTTTTTGCACCTGCAGTAGTTTTATTATGTTTTACTTGTTTTTCATCCACTCGAAACTCCATTTTGAACTTATTGCTTTCATTTATTACTGAACAAAGTTTCTTATTTCTTTCCTGTTTTTTTTCACATAGATCATCATCCAGTCCTCTGTAGTCTCCGGGTATCTTTGAATAGTGATTGTTGTGGTTTTGTAAGACAGTTCTAGTTGAACTAATCCTCTGCCTGCTTCGGATCTGGACACATACAGACAATCAACATCACCTTTTGGATGTTGCATGCGATGGCAAGTGAGAAGCTTTCTCTATTTGGTCTCCATTCGCTTAATTTCAGCTATGGTCCGGTGAAGGATGTTAAAACTGTACTGTGCCATATGGTCACCCAAGGCGTTTATGGCTGATATTCTGTTATTTTGAATTCAATTCGGTATTCAATACCAGACGCATACGCATGTTGTATTCTTTTCTTACTTTCTCCTTCATTTGGATATGCTGTATTCTATCTCCTTCGCTAATTCCTAGGTATTTGGCAAAGAGTTTGATATCATCCATGTAGAGTCAGACAGCCATGCATGATACACACTTAGGCGATTATTTAGCTTTCGATACATGACTGACGAGACAGATTTTTCCCGCAGGAGGTTGCCATTTCTTTCTGCGTTAGATCACTTGTCATCCAAGACTACAGAACACGGCCTGTCCTGCTATTTACCCATAGCTGGGGGGGGGGGAGAAGAAAAGGATTAATACCTTTCCCAAGGGCGCGTAAGTGGATTCGACTGGAATTCAAACTCGGCTCTCCGATTCCTCAATCCGAGCCACTATCCACTATTCCTCCATCGTGCGTCCTACATGTAGAGTAGGTGATTTACTTGTTTACTTAGTTATTATTGTTTAGTTCATGCGAAGGTGGGATTAAGGCCAGACAAAACTGAAGGGGTGACATCGAGTATCCTTGAAAGATTCCTTGTTGGATATTCAGGCGTTTGGGGATGGCGGTGTCTCTAGTGTGATTAAGTATAATGTGGTTTTTCACATTTCCATGCCGTGTTTAAGGAAATTTACTATCACCAAGGAAACTTTATACATTTTCAAAGTCATAAGCATCCAGGAGTGTGGCCCACTATTAAAAGCTTTACGGTAATCTATTCATGTTCTGAGATTTCTACCTTTTTTCCTGTAATTTTCTTTATCTATAGTGATCATTGTAATTATATGAAACTCTCCGGCATCCCTTCTGTTCCGGGAAAAGAATGTTGCTTTCTTCGAGAAAAGAGTAAGTACAGTTCGTCAGGCCAGACGTGATCAATTTATACATGGTGGACAGATATGTTATTGGCCTATAATTTTTCGGGTCATCTGTTTCGCCCATCTTTGACGCGAGATATGTAATACCTTCAGTGATCCATTCTGGAACTTCATTGGAATTAATAATAAGCATTAATAAAGTTTGTGTTCTATAGATTGATGACAGATGATAGAGCCCAAAATCGGGTACGTTGTCATTTCCCGAGGATTTCAATTTTTGGGATTTCTTTAGAGCTTGCCTAACATTAGTTTTGGTTATATTTCCCCATTCTTGTAGAAGTTTATCCATCATTGGTTCTTTTTCTCGTTGGATTCATTCTACATCGGGGTTATATTCCTTTGGCCATCTGCAGATATTCTCCCAAAATTTCTGCACTTTTTCAATAGTTGGTGGCTTTTTGACATCGATAACTACTTTTTCAATTTCCCTGTAAAATTTCTTAAGGTCCATTTGAAATATTTTATTTAGTCGATAGAACCTAATACACTTTTTCTATCGTCTTGATCTCTATGCCTTTAAATGCAGTTTCCGTTTTAGTATTTCCTTGAATGGTGGAATTTTATTTAGTAATTTTATTCTATATCTCCGCTTGATCTTCCTGTATTTGTGTGTTGAGACATTTAAGTTTCTTGAGATTTCATCTAGCACCGATAACTCACATCTAATTTCCTTCATTCCTCGCTTCAATTTTATCTTCCAAACTGGCTCTTTTTGTCTGTTTGATACTTTCAATATCTTGACACCAAGCTTTCCAGTAGCTGCTAAAGCTGTTGCGTATATGATATTTACTTCTGTGATTTGTACTTTAACAGTGCTTGCAGTGCAGCGTTGTACATTTGCACAATATGTTTATCGGAATTTCTCATATGAATTTTTGGATGTTGGTCTCTATCAGACATTTGTGTGCGAGTTACTTTGCTAAGTACTTGAATTATGTGATTTTTCGCTTCGGTGATTTCATCTGTTGCTTTCAAGGAATTCTGCCCTAATGTTTCATTTGACTCATTTTCAGTGACATAATCTTGATAACTGCAATGATGGGTTATTGTATTCTGTTTTATATTTAGTTTTATCTGACCTATTTCTGCATTTGAAAGTCTTTTATTTTGTACGATATCCCAGCGGACATTGGTAAGCATGTTTGTGTTGGGATATGGTCTTATTCCAGTTCTTAATATAATTCTCCATATTTGGTATGTCTGATCCGTGATGTTCTTTTGTGGATTTATGAGTCCGGTGAAAAAAGATATCAGGACTTCTTGATACTCTTCGCGAGTCCATTTCGTTCGCTTTCTTTTAATTATGGATTTGCCATTGAGTCACTTGGTCCAAGGTTGGAAATAATCCAGGTTTGGAGACCAAGTGTCTGATAGTTGTTGGAAGAGTTTGTTCCAGTGACAGATATTATTATTATTATTATTATTATTATTATTATTATTATTATTATTATTATTATCCTTTGAAATATATTAGTGAATTTGCGCCATTTATTCTTACGGTTCGCAGCTAATTTTCTGATTGTGTAAGTCAATTACTATTGTGTAAATCTATTCCTTCTGTTGTTTTCTTCTCTTTTATTATTACCATTATTACATATTTCTCAAGGCCACATTTTTCCTATATCCTGATGAGTAAGTCAAATTTGATTGGATGAATCAATTCCTTTTGTCGTTTCACGTTTCCTTATTGTATGTCATCAGCTCCCAAGTAGGTATTTATGCTGGTGAATTATTTACAGCAGTCTTAGTAGAAGGCCAGACAAAGTAAAAGTGGCACTTGCGCTCGAAAATTACCTCTAATAAGTGGTTAACTGCCGAACACAAACTTATGACTTCCTGAACCTTGTTCTTTTATTCCCTTTTTTTTAATGTTTCTCATTCTCTTTCGCTCCCATTACCGCCTTACTTGGGAAGAAATGATTAAAATGGATTGCACATATCAGAAGAACCGTTCCTATTTGCTGGTTGAAGATTCCGACTCTCTATGAGAGTTTCCAATTCTTTTTTAATCTTGATAAAACGTTTCACATCATCCATGTACATGAGGTGGACCATCTTTTCTCGTAACTTTGTGAATCTGTAAACGTATCTACGTTCATTTACTATATACTTCAGTTGTATCAACGTTATGCCCAGTATTATTAACGATGGTAAGTCTCCTTGAAAATATGTCTTTTTATTTTGATCTCTATTCGGTGCAATTTATTATTTACCTTCTACTTTCCATATTAAGACATCCCACTGGCATGGAAAAATGTGTATTCAGACTGTCTCGACATAGTCTGCCTGCTTAACAGGGCGCGTGTGTCTTAGGGATACAAGTATATTGAATCAAGGTCAGTAATTATTGTACCTAGCAAAACAACGAAGAACCAAAGAAAAAAGCCAGCATTCAGAATTGAACGTTGGAAAATACGGACGATGACAACTGATCTATCAGCTGGCCTTCGCGAGAGCAGCGACACCCATAAAACTATTACGGCTTCGAGTGGATATTTCAGCGCTTCAAGAGACATGGCTTACAGTGTCGGGAACCCTTTGTGTGTGTGAGAAAGAGAGAGTGAGAGCACTTTTTTTCTGGTGGGTAAAAGGCAGAGATGAGATCAGAGAGCATGGTTTTAGCTTTGCCGTGAAAAAAAAAACTCATTGTTGGGGATGGCGGAACTCGGCAAGAATTGATCGCAGCGAATCTACTCAGTTTCGACTGCATACCTCTGATGAAACTGTCAACCTTGTCAGTGCTTACGTTCCGCAGAAGACGTCAAAGATGAGTTTTATGATCAACTATCAGAGAAGATACAGACTGTCTCAAAAGAAGAAAAGCTTCTAGTACTTGGTGACTTCAACGTGACAGTGGGTGTTGATCACGACTCCTGGCCCAACTCTCTTGGAGAGCATCATCGGTAAATTGAATGACAATTGCCAATTTGGGCTCGAGCACCGTGAGCTTCACGAGCTATGCATCACCTACACATACTTCCTGGCCAAAGCCCAACACAGTCTCCTGGCGACACCCCCGCTCTAAACACTGGCATCAGCTAGATTTATACTCAAGAAATGTGCTGATGACGTACTCCTTTCGGAGCGACAACTGTGACACGGATCACTCCCGAGATGCTGTAGCAAATTCAGACGCCAACCGAAGACGCATTACACCTCCAGGTATACAGCGTATGAAAGCCACCACTAACCAGAACTTTAACAAATCGGCGATATTAATCAAGTCTCTGAAGGATGTTCTCCTCACAAACCCACTTAGAGGAATTGCCCAGCAGAGATGTAATACTCTCAGGGACACCATCCACAGGACTGAAGACTTTCGGGAGGAAATGAAGCAAGACCCTGGACTGGTTTGGACCAAGTGTGAATGATCTCAATGTGACTATCGAGAAGAAGCGCGTTGCAACATTGTGTCAGTAGGTTGGTGTTTGTGCTGGAGCACAAGCACCAACCTACTGATATAATGTTGCAAGATTTGAGGACAGTCAGAAACACTTCACAGAAGTCAGCCAGACATTGTGCGAATGACTACTGGCTCAAGCTTTGCAATTATCATTTGACACTGGCGATATTCGCGGGATGTACGACGGAATCAAGAAAATCGACCCTGTATCTGTCGACGAGCCCAAACTGGCCGATCAGTTTAAGCAAGCTACGATCGCCCGATGACTTCCCACTAGCACCCTCCCCCTGTCTATCTTGGGGTTCAGGATGGCATTCCAGTCCCTCATTAAGACTAGGCGCGACGAATCCACTAGGAACGGCCCTAACCGATGGAAAAATCGACACGCTTCCCATGATCGTTGGGCGCATAAACCGCAACGACCCGAAACGAACCACTGCTCACGGCAATATCGGCCACGACCAGCCGGCCCTCTTCGTCCGTATGGACAATGTCTACCTTAGCACCCAGGGAACGTTTGACTAACAAGGAAACACCCTTGGTCCGCCGGTCCGCGTATGTTGAAGAGACGACAAATTCGTCAGACAGCACACGAGCATCGACGTCGCAAACAAAGTATGTCTCCTGTATAGCGGCCACATCCACCCCAAAGGACGAGAGATCATGAAGTAGGCTGGAATCCTTATTTCGATCTCTCAAACTCTTCAAATTCAAGATAGCTAGCTTAATAGACATCTTTTAAAGTATTTTTCTTTTTTTAAAAGAACCTCTTGTCCAGACTGGACGGAAATCTGCGGGAGTCAGGAGCCCGACGTATTGTCCCATGCTACCAGTTCCTATTTCGGTCATAATTCGACCGTCAGAGACAATACCGCCAATATCCGTCGGGTACGTATGTTTTAATACCCTATATAAAGAGGGGTGGAGACGAACTGGGACCCTCCCTGCACATAATTTGGCGATTCGATCTGGACTATTTTGTGTCCTTAAAATGCGGTTATTGCTGCATCCAGATGCTCCCACACCTTTAGAACATTACCCGTATTTCTTATCAGGCTGATGGTCCCAGAGCATCTGGGAAGTTGCGTGGGTCATCTGTTGATTTCCCGTTGATGGTGGTGCATTTAAATAACGGTTTCAAGAGGGCCTTCATCTGTGAGGAAAGGTCCCTCTCGACAGCAGCCTTATTAACTCTACAAAGTTTATTCCCCTCGGAGAAATTCTTTTGTTTTCTTTCTTTGAAAGAGTTATAGGAGGGAGAAGGGGAAGTCGGATCACTAGAAGGGGAGGAAAGGAGGCTCCTTGTCTTACCTTGATCTGATGCTGTTTCTGGTGAAATAGGGACAGATTGGGACCTGGTTGCTATTAGGGTCTTCTCCGCCCTACTCCGACCACACCTTTTTTCTTTCTTCTTCTTCCTTTCCTCACTTTAATGATGAGTAGGAGGAGGAGGAGGCATATCCTTGAGAACTTTTTGCTACGGCTACTGTTGCTGTTTGTGTTGTTGTAGCTGCTGGTCTTGCTGCTTGTTCTGTTGATCTCTCTGCTGCCGTTGCTGTTCCTTTTGTTGATCCATTTATTTGTGTTGTTGTTTCTGCTGTTTCAATTGCTTTTCCGATAACTCAACAGCGACATTGCTGGAGTCATCCTGCTGGGGAGGTGGAGTTGTTGTCTTTGATCCCTTCTAAGCCACCTCAGTCCATTCACTAGGAACGCTAGGGAGCTTTTTGAGCGCTTCCTCGTTCTTTTGGGGAAGACTGCGCCTGCCGAGCCTGATTTTTCTCAGGACACAGGTGTCCCGTGGCTCCGCAAGATCAACAGTGTGGATGACACCCCTCCACCGCAATGTAAATGTTTCGTCCACCGCAAGTGAGCACATTGGGGATATCAATAAAGTTCTTTCTGAACAGAGTGACCATCATATATACATCACTAGTGGCGATGAAAGATTTTCCTTTTACAGCGGAAACGTCGTCCATCGAGCCATAGTTCGAAAAAAATAGGCACCCAGGTGGCCCTCTGTGATATACATGGTCACACCATAGAAGGTGATCCTGGTCTTCCTGGTGTCCATGTACTCCGTTTTATAAGTTAGCAATTTTCCTGCCAATGCTTTGTCTGCCTCCTCAGTTCCCAGCAGGATGTCCCACATTTAGTTAGATCTACGAGCCAAAACTTTGGCCGTAATGTTCAAGGTCTTCAGGGCTTCTTCCATCATATCTCTGTTGACGACAATCAATTTTTTGTTTTGGAATCTGTTGTTAATAGAGAGAGATAGTTCTGGTGGTAACCGCGTCCAATATAGACGGCACTGCAATAAGTTAATTGCCAGAGATGAACTTTTCCTACTTCTCTTTTGGGTGGCTGTAGTATTCCGGAGAATACTGTTGGAGACAAAGCAGACAAGTAGACGTGGAGGGAGTGTCTTTGTTTGTGGCCAAAGGCTCCTTTTCCAGGGGAGCCCCCGCCATAGCGGAGGTTATTCCCCTGAGATGTAGATCGTAGAATAGGAAAAATAGGACTTCTCAACACGTAGGCTTCCGACTTGGGAAGTTACGACTAGCGTTCAGTCGCCAGACAAAAAGAAATGGGACCGTAATTGAATACGGAACACGGAAAAAGGCAAAGAAAGGTACTTGCTGATGCAGACCCCGAACTTGGAAGTAGGTTATCCGAATCGGTCACACCGCAAAGGTCAACACAACCGGAATGCAATGGAAGGGCCTCGCTCTAAGAAAACGGCCTAGCTGATCACCGTTAACTCCTGTGTCAGGTAAGCGTATTTACTTGACCCCCCCCCCACTGATTCACAAGGTCGGTTTTTAACATGGGGACCCGAGTGTTTTTACTCGGGCCGCTATTCCAAGCTAGTCTTAGCTGGTGATAGCTTGTCCAAGCTGGTTTAAGCTAGTCATAGCTGGTCTTGGCGTGTCCTAGCTGGTCCAAGCTAGTCCTAGCCGTGATACCACCAGCCCAGGGACGATCCCTGTGCCAGGTAAGTATCAAAAAAAAAAAAAGATTAAAAAAATAATAATCAGGATAAGTAGTCTATTTGACGACTACCTGTTTATTACTATGTCCATATATATATATATATATATATATATATATATATATATATATATATATATATATATATATATATATATATATATATATGTGTGTGTGTGTGTGTGCGTGCATATATATATTTAAACTTGAAATTCCTATTAATTTTAACTTGATGAATTGCTCTTTTATGTTAATATTCTTTTGATTTGATATTCTTCCCGGGTTAACATTCAGGGTAATATCTATAATTAAGTTATTCTCCTTTCACCTGAAAGGGGTCTATAGCCTTATTCGGTAACCTGCTCGGAAAATTGGTTCACTGTGTCACGCTAGACAATTTTTTCACCAAAATCTATCTTACATATTTATAAGTGTACCATTCGTTCATGAATTGAATATCGTTGACATATGGTCTGATTTAGTTCATTGAGTTTATTTTGTCTTACGGCATATCAACTTCAACAGCCTATTAATGCTGACAAGATTTTTAGGTTTATTTTGTTTTAAGACATATCAATCTCAATAAGATTTTTAGGGTTACTGAGGAGTTTTTTTTTTGTTTTGTTTTTTATTTAGGGAGTTTATTTAATTCCAGAAAGACTTGGTGGCATTTTCGTTTCTTGTATGTTCTTCAGCGGGTTGTATGGCATTCTTTTTTTTTTTTTTGGTGGGGGGATAGATTAAGTTTAAAGGTAAGCTGTAAGCTGGGTTAGTTAGGCATTATTTTATTTTGACATAATATTGTAGTAACACTAACGTAACCCTGTTTTGTACGAAGTAGTGATTTATATAATTTAATTAATCTTTGTCGATCTTCCCCCCATTCAGTATGGGTCACTACACGCAGAAATTGGAGGACTTTGCTACATTTTATTTTTAAATGGGGAGTATATATTAGTTCTTTTTTGAAAGATGATGCCTAGGAACTTGTGTTGTTCCACTACTGGAATTTCTGCTGTTTAATTTTAAACAGGAGTCATTGTGCATTTTCTTTTTGGAAAAGATAAAACCATTTTCAGTGGCCCATTTGTGTATTTTATTGAGGCATTGTTGTAGTTGTCTTTTTATGGTATAGATATGTTTTTTCCGGGCTTTAATTTATTATATGATGTGGGATGCTATTATTTAATTTTGCAATTGTGCGGTATTGAGTTTGTGGCTTCTGGCTTTCCACTTCCATTTTTTTCTTGTTTGTCACATTGATTTTGTGTTGCTATTTGATCACTGTTTTTGGTTTTTGTTTATGTGGTTCTATTTTTTGGGAGATGAGTTCTTAAATCTGTCTTTAATGGTTTTTGGTGGACGGATTGGAGATTTTGTATTTTTTGGAGGAATGGTTTCTATTTAAGCGGTAGATATTGTTTGTTTTTTCTTTATTTGTTATTTCAAAAGTTTCATTGTGTTTCTTTTTTGTAGTTCAGTTTGTACTATTTCCTGGGAGTAAATGTCTTTTAGGTAGCTTTGAAAATTGGGCCAGTCATTTGGTCCTAACTGTACGAGCTTTTCATTGAGGGCTCTGTATTTTTCAGCTTGACTGGTATTGGTTGTTTCCGTTTCTCAATTTCTTCACTGTTTTGGGGTTACTCGATAGCCATTTTCAGCTAAGAAAGGGAAAAGTTAGCTAGAAGAGTTCCATCTAGAGACGCGAATACTAGAAATCTTGTTAAGTCTATACTCATTTCTTTTTTTTTCTTTTTTTTTTTGTGATTCATAATTTTTATGTAGTAAAATTCACTGCCCACCTACCTCGGAGCCCGACATTGGGACATGGCAAGAGGGAAATCCAGTCGCCATGACACGTCAGGTTACACAAACCAGTATACTCGTATTCAAGGGAGACTCTGAGCACCCGTTAAACCATTTTTTGCACTTCCCATATCGTAAGTGTACAAAGTG